TGTACATTATGCCAGCATCTTTTCGAGCATTTTAGTGGCATTTTCCCCGCAAAATTAATTTTTCCACGAATGCGCCGTACAGTTTGAAAAGATTAGGATGGAGGCCAATGAGAACAAGCGAAGGCTGAGTGGATTTCACCGTTTTGTCTTCAAATTTCGTTTGTTTTAGCGTGTTTTTTGATCAACTGAACCTCTTAAAATACTGTGATATCAAAGTAAACGGAAGTAAAGAGAAACCAAGTCGATTTTTGCAAGTACAATTGATTAGTGTATGGCTCATTCGCTCATTCGCTACAATCACTGTAAACTTATAAAACTGACTTTCTTTATACCCTTTACTAAGAACGGTTTAAACTTACAAAATGTGGACTTTCTCTAAAGGTTTATGTATTCTACGCAGTGTAACACGGATTATGGTTAAAAAGTATAATTGCAGCTGTAACAGGAACATGTATCTTTGGTGATGCAGCAACGTTTAAAAAAGATTGCAGAGTTTTATTTGGAGATATTTTTATTGTACCTTTCTTGGGTTCTGCCTTAGGACTGACAGCAATGTGCATGTGTGGGGAGATTTGATTGCATTTGACTGGAATGACTTGCCCGTGGGCAGGGAATTTGATTGCAAATTTTTGAAAAAAGTCAAATCCCCACCCCATGCCCTGCCTCCCCCACTCTCCGCCGTCATTACATTGATAGGTGCATTATGGCTAAGTCAAATCCCACCCCGGGCATTTGTCGGGCTTTTCTCATTTGTTTTGGAAAAGCTGCAAATGTTCCACGGTGGGGCTTAAAAATAGGGTGCAAATGCCCCGCCCCGGGACAACAACAAAATTGTAGTTTCCAGTAAATAAGCTGCAAATGCCATATATGTGGGAAATCTCTAGTAATCTAATTCAAAACGCGTGAAGCGCCCTACGTAAATCGCCCCTAGCCGTTAGATATATTTATTGTGTGGTTCCAGAAAATGACGGAGATGAATTTGAATTTAAGCTTTACAGGGACACAAAGGAAACAGTTCAAACAGTGTGGTTTTTGCCTGTGAGGCAAGCTGTTCATTTGGCGCATACATTCTCTCCACCGTGCTAGTCTACGAGTTTAATCTACAACGGTTTCCCATTACATAGATGTGGCCGGCTAGAGCTCACAACACTGACAAAAATGCTGGAGCTAAAGAAAGGGCCGCCATGTTGGCCGGCGACCGAGCACCGTTTTCTGCCGATTAAACCAACGGACGCCGCGACTAGATCTCCATCAGCCGTCTCTTTATTCCTCGGCGAGATCAATAACTTTTTAAAGTTAATTCGTGTTTTGAAAGCTGTCGCCATTGTCTCTAATAAACACTTCAACTTATCGCTGATTTTTTTGGTCAGTCACTTTTGGATTGCTAAGGTGTCTCCTGAATGGAGGTTAAACCTGGGTTTGTTCGGGACCCAGAAAAAATGCCCCTTTCCCCTGAATAGAGGTGTCCCTTCAAAAGAGGTAACAGATACAAAGATTATGTGAACATTTTTCCAGGACCAAATTTTGTGTCCCTTGAAAGGAGGTGTCCCTTAAATAGAGGTGTCCCAAAGGAGAGGTTCCACTGTAATATATAGATTTAGCCAGGGCTAAAAGCGAAGCTCTGGTTAATAATACGTGTGAACAAAAAAAGTGAAATCGCGTAATGCTAAACGGGGACGACAATGAAAGTGGCTTCAAGACTAATAGATCTAATTAGCAAAAAAAAAAAACAAATTGCACGTGCAGCACACTTTTTTACTTTTATTAGCAGGAAACTTATTTGCACGTGAAGCACGCTTTTTTGTCTTTCCCTTGCCGTTGTTTTGCACGACTACAACGCTGTTTTGTACGACTAAAACGTCAAACTTCCTAGTTACTCATTATTTTTATGGAGGAATTGTCGTATGTGCTTACCCAATATTTTGTTTCCTGTGTTCATGTTCGCTCTTATTTTTCACTGCGCTCATTTTTTTACATTACATTGGTATGCCCTTGGTGCGGACGAATGGTCGCTCGCTCGCTAGGAGTACGTTCACGTGATTACCAAATTTTCTCCGATGGGTAGATTACCACATTTCCTTAGTTATGGGGCTCCGCTATAATTAACTGGGAGCTTGGGTTACTGGGCGGGATATATCAGTGATAAAAAGTGAAAGCGTAAAAAATATATGGTGAACTAGTGGTGTCATTCATGGGTCATTACGGGCTCCTGGTCGACCTCGATCAGTAGTGTCTGGAAAACACACGTATCGACTCTAAGATAGAGGGGGATTTGGGCGTTTCACTGAGATAGGATAACAAAATTAAGATGAACTAGCCGTATAAGGGTTCAGAATTAGGTGTCCTAGCAGCGCATCTCCACACCAAAAAAAACTCCTAAACTGCCTCCGACCTCGAACCCCGACACTTAAAAGTGTAGAAAGAAGAGACCTTTCTTAAGAAGTAAAATAAATAATGGTAACCAATACTTCATCAGCCTAATCCGCTCAGTCACGTTCACGTCTTTTGATAACCCTAATACACACACACACACATATATAAAGACAACAACAACTACTACTAAAATATAGGACGTAAATTGCCCGGCTCTGATCGGTCACTCGGCTACTGATGATACTCAGTACTATAGCGCTAACGGAAGAAATTGCTGCGGAGAGAGCTGTCAGTAGGTTATGGAACATCTAATCTAAGTTCAACGCAGTTCAACAATCAAAATACTAACAAAAAGACACATCAGAAATGAAATATAAACAAAAAGTTTCTTTTGGCAATATAGGCCTCACACCAGGAACTATCAATATCCCGAAACAAGGGAAGATTGTTGCGTAAAATGAGATTGGAAAAGCAAAAATAAGATAGGTGAATTGTGGACTAGTAACACCTTCAGAGTTCAGTGTCTTGTTTAACATCCAGTTGGTAAGCGATCACATCTCGTCAGAGGGCATAAAGCTTCGCATTTTGGGTGGTCGCTTACGGGGTGTTGTACTATATTAAATTAAAATTTCAAATAACGAATGTCCCTGACAAACAGATCCGGAACATCGTCCTTTATTGTCGAGAAGCAAGTCTATTCGTATTCCCCATTTTTCCATGTTAATGCTGAGGCCGACTGCTCTGAAGGCGTCAGTGGAGGTAATTCGATCCTAACCACTTTTTGATTACCATTTACAGAAATTAATTAATCTTTTCGATCTCGACAGTACTCGACGAACACAGAGACAAATTTCGAACAACACGCCGCAGGCCCGTCCAGTCAAAGTATACCTCACTTTTGACAATGAAACTGAATCAGGTGTAACCTTGATGCAAATTCTGATCAAGATCGAACGTGGTGAACAAAGAACAACAACTTCACTGTCTCGGAAAAACACGTTCACGTGGAAACAGATATGAGCACGATCAGCTCTGTTTAAATTCTATTGTTTAGTGAGAGATAAAATTAGCCACTAAGAAATGAGCTTTTGAAGGCCTGTCAAATAGTGTATTTGAATAGGTGCATCATGAACAAGTGAAAGAGGCCCAGTCAGATATAGGGTTGTGTATTCTTTATTTTGCTAAAGACATCGAGAAAACGCAAAAAGCCGTGCTGAAATGGCGATTTTCTTCCTTCTCTGCACAACAATTTTGTTGTCTTCTCTTAGTGGTAAAGGTGGGTTGTAATTTTCAGATCGATATGAAATATTTTTTCTACCATTGTTTATTAATTTACCCGAATTTTTAAGAATCTTAGCGAGATTTTATCTAAGTAGCTGCATTCGAAGTATTTTTTTCTCATACTAGTAAATCTGGGAATTGTGCGAAGTTTGTAGTTTTTATTTGGTCTGGATGCTTTTTTTTATTTCTCTTATGATTATTTGCTGTGTATTCAAAATTCGCTGTTTCAACGATTCCCGTGACGTAGTTTTTTATTACAGTTACCTTTGCTGCTCGTAAGTCATTTGAATCTTAACGTTATCTGCGAAGCTAGTGGTTCCCTACCTTCGCAAGGTTAAGAAAAAAAGCATAAAAATTTACTAAACAGACGAGCGTGGATCACCAGCACAGCTATTTCCATGTCGTGACGGGACGCATTCGTCATAACGAGTACGGATATAACAACCTAAGTAGCTCTAAACTGATTTTATCGCTTGAAACGGATTATCAAGATTATAGCCCCTTTTAAAAAAAAAAAATCCTACGAGATCACGGCACCTTAGCATAAATAAAAAATGGCCGAAGTTTCAGTCTCTGTGAAACTGAGTGGAGCTAATCGCATCTAAATTTCCATGATTCATTACTCGCTACAAGCATCCTCTTGTTTTTCCTTCAAATATTACGATACGGTTTGAGGTACGTATTACGATCACGTGCACCACGCGAGCGGTGAGCGGCAAGTCCGCAGGACGCTACAAACGCCAACGGCGTCATCGTATAAAGGCCTTATTTAAAAAACGCTTTATTTCAGTCTCTTGAAAAGTATAATGTTTTAACGGTCATAAAATACAAAAATACACCTCTGAGAGCGATTTCAAATCCCCTTGATTCAAACAGATTTTGCCCTCAAAAAGAAGTTCTAAGATATTATCATATATGGCTCGAAGCCAGTACCATAAATATCACATAAAAACCTTCCTGTCAGTTAAGATCAGAGTGCGTTTTGTAGTTTATAGAACATGTTAAAACCTATGACTCTGACTTAATAGCTAGTGTTACAGGCGATAAAATACACTAACTAATATCCCCTTGCGTGACTGGATAAGTTATTTATTGTATTCGTATCATGGTATCATTCTATCGTAGGTCCGCTCATTTTTTGTTTTAAATATAGCCAGTTTTTAGAAGATAATCTTCAAAGAAAATTTAGCGTCATGTCTGCAGGTACCGTCTGGAGCCGCTACATTACTTGATATTATTGTTTGGACCCCCCATATCTTTAGCAGGTGTATAACACGCCTAATCGTTAACTGAAAAGTAATGGGCCATGTTTTGTGCCATGCATCACTTCAAATTAGCATGATAATTAGTAGGAGCAAAATATATAATTTAAACCAGCTAAAAAATATATCTAGCTTTTGATATCATTATGATGATCAGTTAGGAAAATTTAGGGAGACTTCCCTTTCGTCAGCGACGAAACAATTGAAATGCTGCGGTTAAAGCTGCTGGCCCTGGCATATCAAGCTCAACAGCCGAAACCTCCTACATTAAGGTCATACGACCTCTAAAAATATACTGGTTAAAGCTAGAACTTGTTAGAGTGGACGGTGAAACTCCTTCGTTGACGGAAATAACGTATGCACGCTTCAGTTGCACTCTTTACGTTGAAATGACAATTCATTATAGGATTGAATTGGCAGACAAAGTCAGCTTGGTGATTTCCATGGGATTAGACCTGAACTCAAAGAAGGAGCTCTCTTCGCAATAAAATTAACATGCAAGAACAAAAACGTGCCAAATTACTTCATATTGGTTGCTTTCTGCGCCTCAATAAAATAACTATCATCTCAATTCATGTTTTACAAAATCCTCTGTGTTGTCCACACTCGCCCTTGCGTATAACAAAACAAAACTAAAGAAACGTCTTGTAGTTCCACGCTTCTTTTTTTGCAGGCATAACTGTTTAATGCCCCATTCACACCGGCAAAGCTTAAATATATTTTAAAAGCTGTTTAGTTGTGTATAGAATTGTTTTCATAAAAGCTGTTTACCGATTTTTGTCAACTACAGATTTAGTAAAACATAATGAAAGCACAAGTAAAAGCTTACTAGAATCCTATGTAAAAGCCTTGCATAACTAAGCATGATTTTGGTGGTGTGATGAAATGGGGATCGAGTGAATCCCTCTATAACCCCATGGAAATGTATATGTATTCAATCGAATCTTCTCCGGGGAATGGCCGATGTCAGGTGCATAGTGATATTAAAAGCCTTGTCTCGGGCCAGATAGTGACACGAGTGACAGGATTCTCAAAAAATGTGTTGACAGCCGAGTTAACATTGTTTTGCTATGTTGTATCACGATGAAAAGTCAGTTTAAACCCGCTGGAATGTTTTCACCAAATTGTCACATCATCGAAACGTCGAAGCTGTTGCACTGATCCGCCATCTAAACTTTATTGAACTTGTTCAAGTGAAGTGTTGCTATATATAGACAGGTTGAAAAAGAACGTTTTGACCCCATCAGCAAGTGCTAAGACAATATTGTGGCGAACGTCTGCGGCTTAGCACGCGCTAAAACGTGTTGAAGAGGTTAAGAATTCTTACCTTAAAATGTTACTAAAAGAGAAAAACAGACAACAGCAACAAAAAACACCAACTGCAACGGCAAAGTGATATAACGACAGCAGTCATCTTTATTTCCTCTAAAAAATATACAGAAAATAAAGAAACCAAACACTAATATGGGTTATAGTGACATATACTCAGTACATGTCTACGTATGCAGCCAAAAAGCTTTCAAGTTGGCACCTGTTTCCCAGTTTATTCGCAAATAAACTATAGGAAGTGAAAAACAATTTTATCATTTTGTCAAAGTACATTTTATAACTTGTTTTACGTTAAGCAAGGCCAAGATATAATAAAAAGTATACCAGAAAAAATTATTAATTTTTTAAATAACTCTCCTTATTTCTTAAGTTACAGTCAACTTATAAGTTTAAACATGGTGGATGGTTTGCTTCAGGAGTCAGCTTTCTAATTAGTAAAACAGTAGGGAGCACCCGGGAAAGATGATCGCGGGTGTCCCTGACGCAGTGAATTGAAGTACCCGGCTATCGATGATATTCTGTACCCTAAAGCTAGTCAGGTATTTGAAATTGGTCCATCGTTATATGGGCTGCATCACAAAGACGAGCTGTTGGCCCTGGCCCTTAGTCACAACAGCCTGACGGGGAGGGGCTGGGGGTACTGCTCATCTGTCCACTCCTAAGAGGGGGAGATTAACACCGATAAGGAAGTTTGAAGAACCTTCCGCACGAGCTCAATGTAAAAAGATCTGGGTTAGACGCGCATAAAATGAATCAGAGAGTAAATAAATAAATAATAGCAAACGATAACTAGCTTTATACAATTAAACAAGAACAGGAGCGTATCAAGAAGAACACAAATTATCACTTAACACTAATTGCATTTATTTTATTTGGATTTGCACTGCGGTGTGATTTCAAGAGAGGTTTTACCATAAGCATTATCTTTATTTGTTCAATCTGTGGACATGATTACGTAATACTATGTTTCGTTTTGCACAGTTCATTGTAAATGCACAAAGTTGACTAAACCACATAGTGACCAAGCCACATCACTCGTTTCGAAGATATATAGACCGTCTACAATGATTTACACCGTAATTTTATTTATTTGCATAAAATTTTGATTCTAATAATTTCCAAAATATGCTTTGACTCGTTCATGATCCGCTTAATCTAGATAAGAGCTTGAGTGGCTGCATGGATTATTCTCTATGATCCGGGTGGCGCATCCGTAATCGAACAGCATGTCCGGTAAATGAGTAGAGTTTAACTCTGCATTGTGGAAACCTAATTTGGAAGAAACACAAGGTATAGGTAATCCATTGGCAACGTAATACTAGGGATATCAAGGAAACCAGTATACCCGCAGTTCAAAATCGACTGGAAGTACATACATACATACATACTTTATTGCATAGCTCCCCCTTGGGGGCTGTTCCGCCATACATACACGAATTAAAATAAAATAAAAGAAAATAAAGTAGAAAACTATTTACATTTCGATGATAAAATAACGAATTTCTGTAAATAATAATGATAGTAATAGAACATTAATTTTAAAGACTATTTACATTTCGATAATAAAAAACTATCTATGAATTAAAAAGATATTGAAAAATTCTCTTTTTGAAACGTTAAGATTTCCCGCGTCTTTTATATCTTTAGCTATAGTATTGTACAGTTTTGCCCCACGGTAGGTGAAAGTCTTTCGGCCAGTGGCCAGCCTATACCGAGGCAACGTAAGGTCATTATTCTGTCTAGCGACTCTTTGGTTAGTTTTTGAACGATATTGAAAGCGTCCGTGAAGGTAACCAGGTGTTAGGTTATTTAAGCATTTGTACCCCATCACTAGGTCGTTAAAAAGCGGTTTATTCCTAACGCTAAGCCATTTAAGGGACTTCAGGGCTTCTGAAACATGATCGTACTTTCTTAAACCGCAGCTACGATTCTGCAGACATAGCTCTGAACTAGCTGAAGTTTCCTAACGTTCTTCTTGCTCGTGCTACTCCATACCGTCGAACAATAAAATAATTTGCTGAAAACGAAAGCATTTACATATGAGATAGATCAATGTTTTTTTTTTTATCTAAGAGATGCTTTGTCCTATTAACTCTCGTTAGCTTCAACATACAGTCGGAGGCAGTTTTAATGATATGTTCGTTAAAGTTAAGATGACCATCTATATACACTCCCAGGTCCTTTGCAACTGTTACAGGCTTGATTTGAGTTCCCACCATTGTCGCACTTGGTAAGGGGGTAGGTAATGTCCTCATGAGTTGTCGGACGCCCACATAAAGAAGCTTTGTTTTGTCAGGGTTAATGAGCAGCGAATTTCTACAGCACCAAATCGACATTTCTTCAAGATCTTCGTTTACTGCAGAGATAACGTCGACAAGTTCGCTGCCGGGGAACCCAGGGAAGAGCGACCGCCGAGTGGTTCGCAATGTTTTGGAACTCGAAAGAGGTCGTTTACATACAATGTAAACAACACCGGGCCCATGATGGATCCTTCCGGTACCCCAACCGTAAGGGGTAAGGGTTCACACTGTTTATTAAAGTCCCGTTTATGAGGAGAAAATCCATCTGTCCAGAGAAGAAGGGTCACGTTCCGATCCAAGACAACTTTAGCAAGCGCCTATAAAGCGATTTTCGTATGACTTTCGGTAAGTGTTCAATAGTTGTTTTATCGGCCAATGGGTGAAACGATCAAAACATGGACTCTTCGTTTTCCCGCCAAAGAAAACCCTAATGTGGCGAAGGCATTGTTGGCATTGCTGGCCAATCGTGTTACAATATTACGTCAAGGCGAAGTATCGGTTGATTTCGGGCATGAAGTTTTTCCACACGAGCGTTGGCTTAACAAACCAAAAGCCACACGCGCGCGTTTGAGTCCGTTCGATAAACCAATCAAATCGCTCTAGTTCCGTTTGATTGTCGTTTCTGTTTTGTTCGCGCGTTTTCATTTCAAGGTCATACGAAAATCTCTCTATCAGAAAAAAGTTCGGCCCCCTTTGCCCGGAGCCAATGCTCGCCCATGCTCTTATTGTCTCGCCTTAACCGAGTTGGCGAGCCAGAGAATGACCCTCAAGGCGTGACATAATAGAGTGACCCACTTAGCCGGCTCACCCTACTAGCTAAGCAACCTTTTTGTTTCTCATGTTAGTGGGTCACCTCGTTTTGTAGGGAAACGTGTAAAAAGTTGGCTCGCCCAGGGTAGCCCGGGCAGGTGGGTGACCCTTCTAGCATGACTACTGTTCTCCATATAAACGGGGCATAACAAGACTTTTCCTGTTCCTTTGTTCTAGCTGTTAGACTTCTCGAACCTTATCCAAGCAACCCATTCCCAATAGCAGGATCAGAACTCTCCTCAACGTGCGTTTTCGAAGGGGATAATGGAAACCCGCCTGAGAGAGTCAAGTTTCAGAGGAAGTCAGGTCCGTTTTGGTCAGATATTCCTGACAGTGACAGAGTCTATCAGACGAACAAGACATCGGGTAAGACCTATGAGTTATGATCCTAGCTTCGTAAATATGACGATTATTTGTAACCTGTATTGCTGGAGGGAAGCGATTAGACCATCGTCAAAGTGGGTGCCAGCCAAAAAAGTTGAAGTTTCATCATCATCATCATCATCATCATCATCATCATCGTCGTCATCGTCGTCGTCGTTAATTGATTCAAAGTCATCATTATTTTCCTCATTCTTGACTGGCTTTTTTATCATCATTTTTATCGCTAACCAGGGAAGACTTGTTTGCTCTCCACGAACAAAAGCCAAAGTGATTAAGATTGGTCGGGAGTAAGTCTCAGTCCATGCTATGATCGTCGGTCTTCAAAAAACGTACGTAAAAGAACCGGGTGCGATATCTCTATGATAAAATTCTTCGTTTCGTCATGAGATAGAGTCAACACTTTAAGATTAGCCTCAGGAAATCACTTAGCTAAGAAACTATGAGATCCTTATTGGCTGTAAATAATCAACTTGCCTCAAGGTTATTGCGCTCGATAAGCACACGTAAGGAAAACCAGCAGTTTGTCTCCTGGCATCCGCCATGACCAGACGCATCCATCTATGTTCACACCGGAAAAAAAAGTTTAAACACTATACTATAGCCAAGTGTCGAATTTTCCGATTGAAGAGAAAACTGATTTCTGATTGGCGTCAATGTTGCTTTGTCTTGAGCTCAGTATTACAGTCAACTTGACAGCTCTCGTCTTACCGGGACACTTAAATGTTATAAACACCACGCAGACAGCAGCCAAATTCCCCGCAAAAATGAATTACAGTTGTGAACTTCTGACTAAAAGAAATTCTCGCTAGTCCATGGTCTCCCGCTATCTGGGACACCAATAATTGCTGTCAACTTACGGTGTCATAAAAAAGTGAGTTGACTCTGCAAGCTTTCACTCTCTCTCCACCGAAGAAACCCAGCATCTATCTACACTAGCTACAGAAACCTTACATGACCTTAGTGCATGCGGTACCCTACTTAAATCCCACACTGACTGATCAAGACCGCAGACCAAACCTTACAGGGGTCTAGTGTTAAGGACAACAGCAACTGGCTTGCTGCAGTTTCTTAATTCTCGTTCATTTACTTCGATTTTTCCTTGTTATTTGACCAGGTGATAAAGTAACTGTTACGTTAAACTTTAAAAATGTAACAGTACAAGATGATTTACAGTTCGGAAGATACTCCTGCGTTGGTTTCCCTCAAGGAGTTGGCCTGTACAGAATTGGATTCGCAATAAGAGTCACACCAAGTAAGTCAACAGCGATGTTCATAAACAGAAATGGTCTAGATAAATAAGGCTTTAAACTGACAGTTAATGAGTGGTTGAGCTGTCCGCAATATGACTGCAATGGCGGATACAGGGAGGGGCCCGGACTTCCTCCCCCCCCCTCCCCTCAGTTTAGACCAAACGGAGGCCCGAAGGGCCGAGAAAAATTCTTTTTGCCACCCTTATAACAATAATAATAATAATGATAATAATAATAATGATAATAATAATAAACTTTCTTTTTATAGCGTCTATGTCATTAACTGTTCTAGGCGCTTTACAAAAATGTATTAAAACGCTAAAAAATCTAACAACTACAGAATAAAAATCTAATTATAAATTAAGAAAAAGCTTGGTGAAATAAATGTCTTTAAGTGTTTTTTGAAAGAATTCAAGGAATCGGCTTTTCGATCACCGTAACACTTTAGCTTAGATCTCGGACCTGAAGTAACTTATTCGAGCAAGAACGCAACGAGTAGGAGCTGCTACAAAAACTGAGCAAACTGGATATATAACTTGGTGAAAGTCCTCATAAAGCCTTATATACTAACAATAGGATTTTAAAAATAACACGGTATTCAACAGGCAACCAATGTACATGTAAGTCTGGGTGTTATCTCAGGGTCTGGAACAACTGGGCCCAGAACTAAAAATCAAACATGGATCACCGAAGATAAAACCCTTCCAATTTTAAGTTTAAGTTTATTTTTGTCAGAGACACTAATACTTGTTTTTTCTCAGGAGAGGACCTACCAGTTGCCCGTGTGATACCGAATATGACTGTATCATATGGAGACACGGCGAGACTCTATTGCAATCTTACCCACAAAAATAACGAGACGACCACACCCATAGAAAAGGTCACCTTCCTGAAAAACGGCCGACCAGTGAGACAGACCAATGACATAATGCAGCCATATATCTTAGCTGATATCGAATCGAGGGATGGAGGCAATTACGGCTGCCTGATAACAGTGTTTCTTCGTACATTTCAACCATACAATATAACACCGACTTCAACGGCTTATCTACATGGTGAGAGAGAGTAAACATGCACCCAATTCTCCCCTCAATTTCCAACTGCATGTTTCTCTGTATACTTTCAGAATTACGCCACAAGTAGTATTAAGGTGTTTTCTTAGCTTTACGATTTTGCTTTTGTATTGAGCCTTATTTCTATGCAGTGATAGGAAGGAAGGAAGGAAGCGAGGATTTGCCATTAAGATTTCAGGTTAAGTTCGCTATGAGAAACGACTAGAAGTGTTTATTTTAACTGAAGAAAATAGTACGCTGATCTGTCTTCTCTATTGCCTGATATCATCCTTTCCAGAAAAACAGGGGTAATTGCATCAGGCACGCAGGAAAACGGTATGAGCTCACTTGGATGGAGAGTCTGTTACTGGTGGTTTTTGGTTTGTTCGAAGTTGTTAGTAGCCTAGAAAGAGGGGAAGATCTACAATCTTATAAAAATCCATAACTTTACAATCAGTATAGCCATTTTACTACGGTCCAGTTTTCCCAGTGCTTGTTCATGATACATCTACTTATCGATGTTTTTTCTGCTCGACAGTGCGCATTAGATTTCCATTCAAGGAGTCAAAGGTTGTCGCTGATGTTGGCGACAGCGTGAGTTTGGTGTGTAGTGCTCAAGGCTTCCCACTGAACGTTATATGGAAAAAAAACCAGGCTGGATCAAGCGCGGTCATCAAACGTAAGACAATTTACGCAACCATAAACTTAGGCCCTGTCCTTACTACTGCGTTTTCAAAAGTATGCCTTTTTTTTGTTGTCATCGAAAACGCATCGATCGATTTGCGTCCACAATACCGTTTTTATGCAATTTCGACAGTCGGCACTAAAACGCTCAAAAACGATAGAATAGCACTTCGTGACGTAAGTTGAACTCCATGCGAATCATACAGCAAACACACGTGCCTGAGATATTTTCGGTCATCGCTTTCAGTTCGATGCGTTTTCGACTGTTCACACTGAAATGAGGTGTATGCATTTTCGTTTGATCCACTTTCAAGAGCGTTTTCAAATCGATACGTTTTCGATGAAAACGCTCAGCGTATTAGTGTGGACGGAAGGCCTAAACGCATCGAAATGTATGCGGCTTCAAACGAAAACGCATTAATGTGGAGGGGGGCCTTAGCAACGTCCTTTGGATTTATAAAGCTGAGTAACTGATTTCAGTTAAATAAAACTGAAAGGATGTTGAACTTTCTGCCTTTCATCCTGCATAGCAGGCGCAAGCAGCAAACGTAGACCTCAAAACGAAGAAAAAAAAGTCAAGTAGTTTCCATTTAATTTTGTTCTAGTTTTTTATAGTCACTGGGATAGTAACATAAACTGGAAGGAAATATTTCAAATATCTCTGCTGGTAAAGTTGTGACCAGTTTGTTCTACATAACAAAAAGAGAGAGAACGTACGGGAAAAGATTCAAAACACGCCGGGTCAGCTGTCATCAAAAAGTGATCTCTTTCAAACTAGTTTTTAACGGTTTGAGCTGAGACTTTGCACGATAATAGAACTTTGTTTTCCCAACAATCGTATGTTTTTGGATTTTTGATTTTAACGGTTTTTGGCGCGAAAATGACGTCATAAGATTGACAGCAAAATATAAGTTTCAACTTCTGCCATAACAGGTTAGCAAGTTTGAAAGAGTACTCAGAGAAGAACTTGAATGTGAAAAACGTTTTTGAAAACCTCATTTGGTTAAGAAGATATGACATTCTAAAGATCACCAAATTTCTAAAAATAGTGACAAAATGGCGGAAAATACGAAATTCACCGCTCAATAACTTTTCAACCAATTAAGCTTTACAAATACTTTTTTCACATTTGAGCTCATCTCTGTAAGTTCTTTTAACAGTTCCAGTTTTTTACGCCATAAGTCGAAAACTATTTTTTGCTGTCAATCTTATGACGTCATTTTCGCGCCAAAAACCGTTAAAATAAAAAATCCAAAAACATACGATTGTTGGGAATGCAAAGTTCTATTATCGTGCAAAGTCTCAGCTTAAACGGTTAAAAATTAAAAAACTAGTTTGAAAGAGACCACTTCTTGATGACAGCTGACCCGGGGTGAAAGTGGGCGAACGATATATGAATGTTTTCTTTGTTATTCGCTTAGCATTTCTCCAGCCTCCGCACGACTTTAATGTATGATGAAGATGAGATGGTAAAAATACGGAAGAGTCTAATGTATAACAGGAATAATAAGCAATAATTTATAAAAGTACTTGGAACCTCCGAGATCAAATATTCCAGCTTACTAATCAGACAATTATGTCGCTTTCGTGCGTAGCCTCCTAAGTCTTAATGGGCTTCCGCTATTGATTTGTATGAATTAATATATACGACTGTATTTTTGTTTTCAGCCGGTGGCCGGTTTATCCTGAAAGAACTGTGTCGCTACTGTCAATCAGTGCTCGTGATCCAAAACGTTACCGCGGCAGATTCTGGTGACTACTCTTGCAGTGCTTTTGGTCATCCGGGCCAACATATTTTCCTTGTGAAAGTGAGATCAAACTCAACGGTGTTAATCGGCGGTGAGTAAAAATAAAACAGCGTTGTTTATCTGGCTCAAGCCTCATTCAAACCCGCGAGTTTATCATTAATTGGAGGGTAGTTTTCCTCTGCGACAGTTTTTTCCGTGAAAAACTGTTTTGTTGCATGGGTTGTGTAGGTGAAAAATTGTAATGACATGCAAGATCAGATTGTGTTAAGGTAAGATAGGAGTACGGTGTAGCGTGATGAGACCACCTTACAAACAGGGCTTTAAACACAGCAGCGTGTACGATTTCAAGCCTGTTTATTCAACAAAATTATAATAAACAGATTAACAGACTGAATCAGTACAAAAGGCGTTCATTCAGTTCACTTGTTAATCATTGGAATTGTCGGCAGAAGAGTCTCCATTCAATAGCAGGATAAACTGCCAAATTGGCCATGATTGCGCTAGTGCGGAATTTAGCGGAAAATGAGACCCAAAACTAGACCGAACAATCTAATGCACTGTGAAATATAGCCGACAGAGCCCTTTTAAGGTGCTAGTACACAAAAGTGATGCTCTGTGAGACGTGAAGAAACTTATTAAAACATATGAAAACCGTGCGTTATAAAACCAAAACGCCGCAATCCGTAAAACTAACCCGGCAGGTCTGCTAAACAGTCCTGAAGTCCCCCGCCCGTCAGTGTCAATGACTAGGATAAACTGAACTTAGTGACCACTTTTTAATTTATTTTGTAAACATCGCGATAAATTAGCCTTCGTCGCAGAGCATCCTTGCGTATTCTGTATTTACCTCTCGGGTGTCGAGTTCGGCTGCAATGCGCACGCAGGTTACGATGAATGTGCAACGAGACATTATCGCGGGGAATTGCTTTTCCCGCAGTTTTTGTAACCATGAAAATCAATATTGTTATTTCTTTTCACTTTCAGTGGCAACAGCGACCACCACCACTCGCTACGTGACAGCAATTTTCCCAGCATTCTTCTGGATTTGGTGGCCTTTTTAGTCAAGGTGCCCATTCAAGTCAGGATGTCATCAGTGCTTCGTTATTACGAAAATGCTAGGATAGGATAATAGCCATGATAGTGATAAAGATAATGATAATGATAATGATAATGAAAATGAAAATGATAACGATAACGATAATGATGACGATAACGATAGCGATAGCGATAATGATAGCGATAATGATAACGATAATGATAATGATAACGATAAGGATAATGATAACGATAACGATAACGATAACGATAATGAAAATGATAACGATAACGATAATGATAATGATAATGATAATGATAATGATAATGATAAAATCATATTGCGAAGCTAAAATTAATAAAATACACTGTCAATTTTGGTTCACCCCTCGCCTATTTGCGGCAACTTATCAGTCAACTAGATAATACCCAGTAGAGCAAATTCCACAGAAATTCTACCAGGCGTAAATACATTTTGCCAGTAACAATAATACATAAGTATTCATAGACAGGTTCCCATGCGAACTGAAGAAAAAGTCTCAAGCTTATAGTGTCAAATAGACCTTGGGTTTGGAGAACTAAGGATGGACCCTGATAGGAGAAACAGTAAAGCATGTTTGTGATTGCTACGATAAAACAAAAGGAGACAAAAAAAAATGTAAATAAAGTTCCACGTTCTTGTTTGTAAGACATCAAATAAAGAAAAATCAGCCTGTCTGAGTGTCTGTCTCCTGCCCGCCTACCTGCCTTCTGTACCGCTTGTCTGTCTGACTGCCGAGGCCCCGCAGTCCACGACGAATCAGGAAACCACTTTTTTTTTGGCGCGAATTGGTCCTCCATCGGCATGATACCAGTTAATCTGCTCATCGAAACCGCATCTTTTTGAAACCACTCTCCAGAGTAGATTAAAGTTTCTTCCATACGAATTCGGTGAAATCGATATTCGTGTCGATGTGGCCTTAAAACCCATCGAAATTTCAAGCGGAAATATCACTTTGCCAGGAAGTATGAGAATCTACCTATTTTTCTATGTATGGGATTCCGGATTCTGGATTCCGGAATCCGTAAAATGTTTGCTTGTGGAATCCGGAATCCTGGGATTTGGAATCCGGTAAACCAACCTCGTCCCCAGGGCTTTTCCCTTAAAAAATGGGTGGGGCAGGAAAAGGGACCTTTTCCCGACCAATTTTTTAAAGGAAAAGCCCTGAGGACGAGGTTGCCGGAATACAGCTCAAAGAATGCGGAACCCTACTAAGGATTGGAATCCAGAATCCAAGTTCCACTTAAAAAAACACTGGAATCAAGTGTCTGGAATCCGGAATCCAAGGTGTGGAATCCAGAATCCAAGATTGTCTTGGATTGCCTTACATGGTGCGATACCTAACAGAACCTACCAGGAGGAGTCTTAAGGGTTCACTGCGCATACCTTTAAGATTAAAAGTGATAGTGCTCACAGTGCTCTCAGATAGTATGTCATCGCTTTAGCACGTTTTTCAATTGCTGCATACTCATAGATGTAAGGTTAACATCCTGATGAACCTTTAAGCTGGGTATTGTGGTGGGACTGACTGAACTGAAAGCACCGATTCGTAATGTTGGTAAATCGACCTGCACAGATGACAATACCGAGCAGATTACCAAACAAGTGCCTGAACCGCTAAGAAAAAGTAAAAACTCAGTTACGAGGTGCAAATTTATTTACCTGATTGTTTCAGTCAGTGTTTTGTTTTGGCCAACAGCTTCTTTGTCCGAGTGAATGTTTAATTTGTAACCAGCAAGTCGTCTTCCCAGACGTGACGGTCCTCATTCCTAGAGTAAAGTTCATGTCATAAGATTGGGAAATACGTCCATTCAGGAAAATAATTCAATTTCCGTCAAACGGTTTTCAATATCAAACTCGCAATAAATTCTCATCATATCCGTGACAATGTACTTTATTTGTTTCGCCAATAAAATTTTGATAAGCATTGTTTTCAATACCCAAGAGAAATTTGAAACAAGGGGTATGCAAAAACTTTGGAATAAAAGCAAGGTGTATTAAGGGCAATTATCTCAGGGGCACCTAACGAGAAAATAGTTCAAAACCACTTAAATATAGCACAGCAGAACAGATTTAGATATCTAACGTTTAAAAACGTTAGATATAGGCATGTTTTTATCCCCTAAAAATTTTTCAACTGTTCGCATTTCCTAGCTGAAAGTCTAGTGTTCCGAAAATTATAGGGATCAAAACTAACCTTTTCGAAAATTTCAGCCAGAAAAAAGGCTCCGGAAAATTCTAGGTGACCTTTTTGGGTAAAAATCCGTTAAAACTGAACAATTATACCATTTTTAGACGTTCGAAAATCCTAGGAGAGTTAGGAGAGGCAGGCAAGCAAGAAATTTCAAAACAAATGTTCCGAAAATACTAGATCTCAAATCGTCTTCCGAACAGATATTTTCCAAACATTGAGGTTGGGTGGTTCTGTTACGTGAAAGTCACTGATATATGCTTTAACCAGCTTAACAGCTAATTTGCATATTTACATTATAGCGTGACGTCGAATGATATCGATCTTCAGTTGGCGTTGTGTTCACTTTATAAGATGTGCAGATCACGTGCTTTGACTAGTAGAGAGCTTTTGGAAGCCTTCTTGCTAAGATTCATATAGCATTTCTACCAGCGAAAAAAGCAGCGCATCAACTTAAGAAAACAAGAGGTGTGTATGAATGATATTTTCCTTTTATGACATTTTAATGTCGACCCGGTTCGCCTTGTGAATACTATGCATTGAGTATACAGGCGAGAACCCTTCACACTTGATTATAGTTTGTTCACGCTGAGAATCATCGCTGTTACAACCTACTTGACAATACAATCTTCCTTCACAGTATCAGAAATGTTATATTATATTCCTTTACCTAATTATTCATTCACCTCGTTCCGAATGTGCGATTGCTGTCTTTCATCGACATGCCACATTACCTATGGCTATATGTTATCTTTTGAAAAATATCTTGAGAGTCTCTCGCGACATTTAAGAATGCAAGAGAGACAGAAAGAGAGAGAGAGAGAGAGTGAGGGGAAAAAACATTTCGGATTTTTTTCTTTATGTATTTCTTAGTTGCCATCGATGGACCATATGTGATTGGGTAGTATGTGATTGTTATTATGCATAGCAGGTCCGGCCTGTAACGACGTCTTTCAGGCGCAAATAATTCCTTTGCGTTGTCATTTCGCATACCGTTGTAAAGTATAGCTCCAAAGAAATTATCATTTCCTGTTCGAGGTTTTCATTTTCATTCATTTTGTGGGGGCTGAAATCGTCTACATACAGTGTATGAAGATAAACGACCAGCTGAACAACGTACTTTAAATGTTCAATTACTCTGAATATTCAATGCACTTTAGTCTTATTTTTTGAATTAATTCAAGCGTCGTTGTACAGTAACCACGATCTTCAGCACCACAGTGACAATGACAATGACAATGTTCTGCCTTTCGTGTACTTTTTAAGCTGCTGCTCCGATTCATCAGCTGTGTTTACAACTATTTCCGAATGTCTGAGTAATTTATAGCAAAACTGCCAATCACATGAATTTGTCGCGGCGTTAGAGCGCCATTCGTTTGTGTAATCAGCTTCCAGTCGTTACAGAATGAACGCTACGTTGCCCATGGCAAATTTCCGTTTCCGTGCTTGAAGGCATCAAACGTAACGTTGAGAAGTTTAAATTTTCCTTCGACCAGCTAAACAAAACTTGAAAAATCATGTATACGCAGTTGCTTTAGGCGGATTGCGTGACGAACTAGAGTAGTCAACTAAGAATTGAACGAGCTGTTTCGGTGGACTCTTTGTAAAGTTAATTACCATAACAAATTTTCTTTTCATTCAGTCAAAAGTCAGTGCCTTGTATTGGGCTTGTATTGGGTTTTCACTGGTTATATATGTTTTGGTTCAATAATTGCATTCGTAGTTTATTTTGTTTCCTTTGTTGCAATTAGGCCATCCCAATCCCATCGCCCGACCGACCCATTTTTTTTGGAAAAGTAAAAAAAAAAATTCCAGAATCACTTGTAAAGAAGCTAGTACTTTAATTTACAAGCACACGATCTTGTCTTATTAACACCAATTGTCTTAAATTATCATCGATACTTCGTATTTGTAGCCTTTTTAGACATTTGATAGTCCTGTTAATATACATCTTTATCTTGCAGACTAAACGCGAGGTTTAATATGCAATCATGTGCTCACGACCTTCACGAGAGGGAGGGCGATGGGAAACGAAACGTTTTATTGGGATGGCCTTACATATAATTCATTACCATACATTACCACACTTTGCCAAATCGATGGAAAATATACTTTAAACCATGCAAAGACAATAATTTTGAACCACAACATATAAGGTAAAAACTGCCCTTAAACTCACTCTCAGTTTTGAGTGGGTAGTTTCAAATATATATTACAAGTAATTTGGTGGTTCAGTGTGTTAGAAAGATCGCAAAGCTTATGAGCTAGCCCTTCGCCAAAAAGATTAAGCACTTCTATAAAGCATCATAACAAATAAAGGCAGACTAGCTTTTGGGTACATTTCAGGGATAAATCAAATCAGCAAATGGTGAACTTTAGAAGTCAAAAATTAGACTGTAACATTATTACAAAGAGCCGTCTCATTAGGTCCCTTGTATAGCAAAAATTAAGGCACAAAATGGGACCAAGCAAACTTGAGTCAGTGAATAGTGATTAGGGAGCTTAAGCAACAGTGTTGTTGAGCGTCGGACATCAACCGGAGATGGACCTTTTGCATCATTGGTCAGTGGTTTGTTTGAAACTCTCGGATAATTCCTCTTCATAAGAGAAAAGAAACTTTGCAATACAAATTTGTTAGCGTCAAGGCATATAAAAAGGGAGAAAGGCTCACTTCCGGTTGACGTGTGTCCCTCAGAACTGTCTTTGCTTAAGCCCCCTATTTTCATGTTAAAGGTTAAGGCATGGATCCTCCATAATACAAATCAACTTCCCCTGTTGCCCCAGCTGTGTATTTTTCATTCCAAAACTAGACAGACAGTCCATTAGTTTGTGATTGTAGACACCACGGTTTTCTTCACCATGGAAACAAGGCCTAATTTCTCCCGGGGGTAGGGGGGGGGGGCTACTTCCTAGTAATAGGCTAATGGGCATTTGCTGCTGGATGGGGTTGCATTTTCGTGGCTGGATTTACTAACATGGGATCATGCATAGGATTTGGGGGTTTTAGAAAATTCAGGTAGGTAGGGATTTAAAAGTGGGAAGATTTTTACTTCATTAAGTTAAACCAATGTGTCTGTTCATTTCAGGATGGCCTAGTTAAAAGGCTTTACAAAGGAGATGCACAAACGTAAAGTTACTAAGTTGGGATCGTGAAAATTACATTTTCCCAAAAGTGACTAAGATGGGGTCTATATTTGGCCACAGAATAGACTATAATGGGGTGGGGGTTCTGACAGGCCAGTGGAACATACCCAGCAAAAATTAACCCAAGTAACCCCCCGGGTAATTTCTCCACCTTCCCTGTGGCTTTCTCTTATGGCAAAAGCCCTGGGGAAGGGTTTGGGTGTTAGAATGACCAAGAAAGGCACTTGCTCTAGCACAGTAGGTGACAGTGACTGTCTGCTATCTAAGAAACTATAATATGATTAACTTCCCTAGGAGAAAAGTTTGACCAGCTCTAGCAGTTACAATAATTTCTAACAAGCTGAATTTGGATTACCAAGAAGTCAATTAATCCAGGTAGTAGAGTAGGAGCAGGTCTTAGACTTCAGACCTTCAAATCTTAAATTCCAACCACTCATGAAGCCTACTCCCTAGAATACATTCCCATTCTTGTTACAGCTACTTGTACCAGATTATTACCTGTATCTTTAATTTTTATTCCTTATGCTTATAAATCATTAGAACGATCAGATCATTAGATTCCTTCACCTTGATGTCTTTGTCCCTTCTTACAGGGTTGGGGCAGATGGGGGTGGGAGGTGGGAAGGGGGTGGGGTTGAGGGTGTTAACCCTTTCACTGCCAGACTGCTCAATGGAGTTTTGTAAGGTGACTCTAACTTTGAGTCTGGAACCAAATCCTATGATGTGACCATTCAGATGAAAGCTCTCTGCCTGTACTTACTCATGGTGAAATGCACAAAATGAAATTTCGAAATTTGGTCGAAATTTGCTTTTGGCTAAATTTGGCAGTGAAAGGGTTAAGAATGATTTTGACTTGATTCAATCATATCTTCCATTGCATTCTTGATGCATCAATTAAGTAAGCAAAAGTCAACTCCTCTATTTGCAAATATCAAAGGAGATTCACTGTAGGTTGCTACTCCTTTAAATAGCCATTTGTACCTTTTAGAGATCCAGTTTTTATGAAATTTAAGGTCTACCGCGAGTTTCTTATTTGCATTGTTAACCACAGCTTTTCTTTTTAGGTATCCACTAATTTTTTAAAGACCGTAAACTTAAGCTTTATTGCTAAAAAGTATAAATGGCTATTTAAAAGGTGAATATTTTCAAAGCTAGGCAGGACCAACCCAGGGGAGGGAGGGGGTGCACTCGTCTCTTGCTCTACTTTACACCAATAAACCACACAGTTTTTTTTTTCAGAATACGCAGTTGTATTAGAAAACCGCAGGTCATCTCGAGGGGGGGGGGGTGCGCACCCCCTGCACCCTCCCCCTAGATCCGCCCCTGCAACCGCATGTTTGTTGTTGATACCGATGTCTTGACTTTAGGAATTTATTTTTTTACAATTAGTTTTGAAAAGGTGAATTCGCAACTCTTGCTCCTAATCTGATAAAGTAATAGGGGGCCGTCCCATCCGATTAGACTATATAGTATATTGAAGATAAGATTTAATACCTACTTTTATCCAAGCGTGGAAAAAATGTTTCCTTTCGCGGCCATTTTGAATTTTGCGGTCGGCTGGTGCGAGGCCTGGGACCAAAAATATTTCTTGGTTCCAGACCTCACACCCTTTTACCACAAAATTCAAAATGGCCCCGAAAAATAATCTTCACTGAATATTGCATCCATCGGTATTCGCATCGGTAAAGTAAGTAATCTCTATTTACGGCATTTTCGAACAATCTAATGGGATGTGCGAGGGCCCTTTGTGTAAAGTTGTTGAAAAAGTGTCGTCCTTGGCTAGAACGAAGTTGTTTTGGTTTTTGATTTCCAGTTAATTTGGCAGGTGTTGCAAGAGAGGCACACCTTGCTCGTCTTTAAACAAGTCAAAAATACTCGTGCATGGGTTTTTAACATGTTTCTTCCTCGACAGTAATCACTCTACAAAGTCTCTGGAACCTGAACTTTTAACTCGAGTTTTTTAATTTTCCAAGTAGCTTTAAATACTTTAACAATTTCAAGAATCTGTAAGCGTTAATAACACATTTTCAACATAAGCCACACTTAAGTTGTAAATTTCAGATTCTTTGCTTTACTTTGCTTACAACGTAAATATGTTTATGTTAATAGTTTATAGAAACACGCCATCATCTGAGTAACCCGGAATTAACAACCAACCCGACATGATCGTAGTTTTGACTAAAAAGAGGTTGAACCCAGGAGTATAAATCACGTAGACAAGCTGTAGGTGGAATATGATCACTCAGCACTAGCCTCCACCTCGGGACGATCTCATTCCAGTTACTTATAGTAATATTTAATTACTGCCCGTGAAAAGTCGCAGAAATCGCTTTGTGGGTCGATCGCAGACAGTAATTTCTGGCTGGGTGCAGAGATCAGAAGCGACGACCGGAATTACACAGGGTTTGAGCTAGGATTTGATCACTGGGGGACAATTTGTCTCCTTGGCTACAATTTTGGGGGACATTTTCATTTTTAGGGGGACAGAAATTTGTACACCCTTCCTTCTTAGCAGGGCTTCTGATAGGTCTCGGACGAAAAAGTCAAATTTCGCGGGATTTTTAGGGACAAATTCGCGGAAAAATCGGCCGATTTCGCGGGAGTTTTCGGGGCAAACTTCACCGAAAAGAAATCGGTAAAAAACGGCCGATTTCGCTAGAAATCGATCGGTTTTGCGCTGATCAGACCAGCCTTTTTAACGTTTTTCTAGCAGAGGTCATCATTTGCTCTTTCAACAACAATACGCTCCAGAAATGAACCAATGGCAAAGCCTTTAACATGATGGCTAGTGCCCAGTTTTTCGCAACATAATCTGTTTGCACGTTTCAGTGACGAAGTTCCAAGATAAATTTGCAAGTTTACGGCAAGTAAATAGCCCCTATAGCTGAAATAAGTTTCAAATATGTTGTACAGACATGTATTTGATAACATTTCTACCGAATTTCGCGGCTCCGCGTCCGCGCGAAAAATCAGAAGCCCTGTCTTAGATTGCCGAAAAAAATAGCAGTAGAGCGTGACTGAAACGTAACTTTGGAATGAACTTTAAAGGTGCGATAAAATATGCTTTCCACGTTCTGTTTCAGCTAGCAACTTCTGTACCGAAATAAATCTCTTCGTGTGTGCTTCCTTTCGAGTTTTTTTCCCTAAATTTTGAAGGGGACAAATTGTCCCCTTGGCCGTTTTTTAAAGGGACAATTCCAATTGCAGTGCGGGATTGGCGCAATGGCGCGGCCTGGCCCAAACCCTGATTACATGTACGTCTGCGTTCGTAGACTTATATTGCCCCGGTTTTCCTTTGTGTGAGTTAAACTCACTCACGAATAAATAGAGGTTTTTTTTCTAACAAAGGCTACTTTTTTGCTCACAGGGTTAAACTTCGATGGCTTTATCAACAACCAAAACTGTGACTTTATTTATAGTCGCTTTGACCCTGATAGTGATTTTCATTGTTCAGCAGTCAGATTTAAATATGAATCCAGAGGTAAGCATTCCAAGCACTGAGGGTTGATTTCAATTCAGCAAAATTTTATTTATTTTATTAGCTTCGCCGAAGAAATAAAAAAAAAACATAAAACGTAATTAAACTTAAGAAGGGGGTCGGCAGGGACAACGGAACAGCTGAGGCCATTTACAGCCGGCCCGGGTAGAATAAAAGAGTGAGAAATGTTAAGAACGTCAAAATACAAGAAAAGAGACTAACTACATTCACAAACGATCGGACGAGATAGCGGATGGACATTATTACATTTTTCCTGGGTCAGTATACCAAAAGTTCTATTTAGCGAATGGGCGTTTCTCTCGGTTTACCGAAATTTCTTTGATTTCTTCCTGGAAATTTCCCTTCCATTCGTGTTGCGAGCGAGAATTTCCCAAATGTTCCTCGGAACGGTTCGCTTTTGGAATTTTCCGGTTAACAAATTTTCAGGGATATTTCTGATGACATTTCGGTTAACATTTGGGTCAAATAGAAAGACTTAAACCCTCGATCGCTTAGGTCACAATCACTAGCGTCACCCTTCACGTACTTCACAAAGTGAATATTTTTGTGATCCAATTGTTTGTTTCCCATTTCTTAGTCGGACTATCTATTTAGTTATGCATTATTTATTCTTGGGCTACATATGTTGTTTGAAACCTTTTTTTCTTTCCATTAGCGACGTCAGAAGTCTCACTTTTCCTCTGAAGAACAGAAAAAGAATCATCGTTTTAAGCAAAAGCTGTTTGTTAAGGTAAAGGTACACTTTTTTGAGCTATTTTAACCCTTTAAACCCTAAGATCAATACTTGAATTCTCATTTGGTGCCTTCATTCATTTCCTACAGAAGTAGTTGGGAGAAGTTGATAAAATATCAATCAAATTCATCTTGTGTGATCATGTCCGTAATTCTCATGACCACTCTGTTTTTCAAAGCATTGAAATTACAAGGAGAAATTTGATGCTGATCACTCTTAGGGCTTAAATGGTTAATTCAATAAAAACAGATATGCGATCAGACGCCCCTTGAAACGACACATCTCGCGATGTCTGCACCAATAAGTATTTAGTTGTTGCTGTTCTTTGTACTGTACGAAGCCAACGGAATCTTCGCAATTTTAAAGTTAATTCTTCGTAATAAGTTCATATAACAGAGCCTAACATGCTATCTTAATCTTGGCAATTCCTGTCTCTAACAGCTGAAGATGTTAGTCTCTGCAATGTCTTGTTGAAAGATGTTGTATACGCCGAATTGTGCTAGGGTCCAAGATGTGGGAAAAACCAATTTAGAAATACAACTAATTTATGAGCATGGTCTCATGTCAACTATCAGAAAATTTTGTTTGTAATCCAATAATAAAAGAGTTATTCCTCTCGCGCTTGTTGAATATAAAATGATCTGTCTTCTCATTTCTGCCCCTTTGAAAATCTTGTGCGTGTAGGAGCACTTTATATCAGAGTACATGAGGAAAACTATTATCTGTAAGCCATCACCACAGTCGAGTCGATGAAAAATTCTTATGCGTTTGCAAACGTTTACGTGGAAACACAGCCTTGAAAAAGACCATACCGTGGTCGAATGATCAGCACATGATTTTCTATTCGTCAAAAACGTAGGAAATGTTTGCATCAAGATGTAAGAGTCGCAGTCCATGCCTGCAGTGGATGCCTTTGTTCCTGACGCCATTAGCTAACAACAGATGTTAATCAGTCCTTATTTACCTTTTTTTCCCTGTAAGGCATTAGAACTGAGTAATCGTCGTAGTTTTAACTTTCTCAACCGCACAATTCAAGCCTAAGTTTTTCTTTACGCAGATCAAAAACCTGAAGGTCGCTAATGTTAAAGGCCCAGAACAACAAACGCGGATCTCTTCAATCCCGCTTGTTTTCGAAAGTTTCCGTTTTTTGTATGTTAGTTCCTCTTATTGCGTTTTTTTGTTTTTGTTTTTTGTTTTGTTTTGTTTTTTGTTTTTTTTTTCAGTAACATTAATCATTGCGCCGCTTTAAGACTAACACAGGGAAGGCTGGGCAAGAAATAAGGCCTTGTTAACACCGAAATCAAACACGTGATCACTACTTAACGCGAAAGCTGGTCAAAATTAATAAGCAATAAAGAAGAATAAGCTAATGCTAGAGGGTAATAAAATCTAATACAAGTGTAATTTAAATGGTGATGATGATGATGTTGTTGATAATTATGATGATGATGAAGCTGCTTAACTCACGACTTATAGCTTAGTCTCAAAATACCCTAGAATTTGAAATCACAGAGCAGTATTCGTTTCTTTTTTACTGAGTGAGGTTTTGTCATTTTTGTTATTTGGAAATTGAATACGTTATCGTTAATTCCGTTTTGTTGTTGTTGTTATTTACTTTTGAAAAGATTCAAAAACAGATGCAGATGTCCCAGTGGTCCCAGTTTTCTCCCGAAGAGAAGGTAATAAATTTTGCACTTTTTATCCCTTTCATGAAACCTTGTTCCCTAACAGCTTCCGCACCATTGCTTTGCGTAGTTCTCAGCTAAAAGGTTTCCCCATACGGACCCTTATAATAGTTTGTTCGGGAAGGGGATAAAAGTTTGTTAGCGGAAGGGATAAAGAACTAACTTTCTCCCTGCGAAACAATAAACTTTGAGAGGGCCGGGAACTCATGTAGGTTCCACGTGTTTAGGAACTGCTTGAACTCTTTAGAAAACACCTTGATTGTTAATTAGTCCGTGGACATCTGTGCGCGATGACGTCATTGTAAGGTTCACAAGTGCTCTAGGAAAGTTCTGTTAAAGTGCTTCTTTCTTGGAGTCTCCATCTTGATCTTTAAGAATAGTGTGACTATCAAGTAATCGTTCGGGAAAGTGGACCCTATCACAGTTGTTACCTTTGGAAGTGGAGTCTACTAATCCTCAATAAATACAGTTCAGTGAAATTTCGTGTACAAGCGCTTTTTCTTGACTTGTTACAACCCATCGGGCTAGAGATTTGCAGAACTGTAACTTGATGATGATGCTGATAAACAACAGTTTACTAAAAACACATGATTCTCTCAAGTTTAAATAAGCCATTTTCGAGTTGCTTTTTTTTTTTCTCATGCAAAAAAACTCATTTTCAAAGGAAAGGTTTTACACTTAGCCTCGTTTTCATAGTCAGAGTTTTTGGAACTCGGAAATGGCCTATTACTGTAAATATTGCCCCATGCATCAAAAAGTATAATATTTCTAATGTGCCACTGAGGCCATAAACTTGAGCACTACTCAGCTCACCGCTACACTCTCTAAACACTCTCGCTGTTAAGTCACATGACTTCAGACTGCGCGCGCCAGGGAAGTCCTGGATGTACACTACAAATACGAAGTATCTACAAGTTTTAAAACAAAGCTCTGAACAGAACTTTGTGACGTTTTTGCTTGCTAATGCATCATAATTGTAATGTCCTTTCGATTGTTGTGTCTTAGGCGTCAAAATGGAAAAGATGTGAAATATTGATATCTGGCAAAGAGAAAATGAGTAGTAAGACCAACTTGAAGACTGACTTGGAGATCCTGGATAGCTACAAACCAAATGATGACTGTGTCCACGTTTTAAGGACACGGTTTCCTCACCGTGCGGTTACAAAAGCGGAACAGCTACTACCAATCGCCTTTGGCTTCAGTGTCCACAAAGATGCTCGTTTGTTCGAACAACTTCTGCAAGCTATCTACATGCCACACAACGTTTATTGTATTCATATTGACAAGAAGTCTTCAGACGTCTTTCGTAAAGCAATACTTGCGATGATACGGTGTCTGCCGAATGTGTTTGTGTCCAAAAAGAGCGCGGATGTTGTTTGGGGACATTTTTCTATTGTTGAAGCTCAGCTAAACTGCATGGAGGAACTTTTGCAATCAACAATAAAGTGGAAATATTACATTAACTTGATTGGACAGGATTTTCCACTTTATGAAAACAGTCAAATCGTGGTAGCTTTACAAAAGTTAAACAATACGAACAGCATAGAAAGTTTCCCGATGCCTGGGCATAATTCTGATAGAACTAAGAAAGTTCACATTTTGCAAGACCACACTATTTACAACACAGGGGCTGAAAAGTCTCCACCGCCCCACAATATTCCAATACAAAAAGGCTCAACACACATTGTTGCAATTAGAGAATTTATCGAGTTTCTTCTCCATAGTAAGATAGGAAAAGACTTTGTTAATTTCCTGAAGGACACCTATGTCCCAGATGAAACAATTTACTCGTCTTTACAACAGCATCCGCTGACGCCAGGAGGTCTCCTTGGTGAACAGCATAATCACATAACACGTGCTCTCCATTGGTATGATCAGAATCCCTATTGCAAAGGCGAATGGGTTCGAACCTTGTGCTGGTTGTCCATTGAGGATTTGCAGTGGGCCTTGGGCGAAACAATGAAGGAAAAACTATTTGTTCACAAGATTCCATTTGACAATAATGATGACATAATAGAGTGTATTCTAGTGGCAAGACAAGGAAGAACGTATAACACGACTGCGTGGAACCCAGAAAACCTAGAGAAAAAATTAAAGATAACAGAATAAATTTTCCCCGGTCTCAAAGTGCCATAAGGATTGTTTTTTGAGCTGAAGACACCCTGAGTGCAACAAATGTTTATCCAATTCGCTTTTGGCTAGAAATAGCAAAGAGAAAGAACTTTAATGCTCACGTTTGCTTTTTTTTTTCTTTTATCGTTGGATATTTTTACCTTGGTGTATCTAATGTTTGACCTTTCCCGTGGCTATGCAAACCTGGGCAACAACTGACCCAGGCGTAATCGGCACTGTTTGCAGGGGATTAAAGCTCAAGTAAATTTAGACGGTTAAAAAATCCTCATTAAAGCATAAACAATGTTTCTCGTTGTTGTTGTTGTTTGTTTGCGTGTTTGTTTTGTTTCTCCTCTCTCACTCTCTGCCAGTAGGTAGGTTAAACGAAGTGAGTAATTAGTTAAGAAAGTAACTAAGTAACCAAGTAGGTGACGCTGCTGATCCTGTAGAGAGAAAAAGTGTGACGACACGTTACCATGGTAGCAAAATTTCTGGATCAGGGCGCTTAAGCAACGATGCCGGCTACGGCAGAGAGAACTGGAAAAAAGCAATAGATTTTTGACTTCAAAACTCAACCAGTTTACTTTATTTACCCATTCCTTCGACGGCTGAAACTTGGAACATCTTTACAAACAAGTTCGGTCAATTTTGTTTTCGCTTAAGCTCACGTTTTAATCGGGAAAAATCCGTATTTTGGAAAGCATCTTTTTGCAAAACAAGAACTGATTACGCGTGCAAGCCTTCGTCTACACGAATTTCCGACTGGTAAGAATTTCTCTTTTAATCAGTGCCATAACAAAGAGTTTTGCGTTTTTCTCGGGAAAGTTATTTGATAAAAGCAATAGAAAACTTTCTGCCTGAGTTTGCACAGCCTGATATAAAGACTTATGTATGTTTGTGTGTATGTTTTTATCAGCAAAACAACGACTGGGCAAGTGCATCACGCTTTTTTCTACGTTTCTTAGCCGTCGTTGCACTACTGCGACGTGAAACTTCCTAATATCACGCACCCGCAAATTACCTTTACTAACAGTTATTTATTTTTAGCGGAACCTCCATCACGCGCGTTTTGTCCTAATTTGGAATAATTTACCGAGCCTTACTGCGCTTTTCACAAATATGCGAATTCTGAAGTTCAAAAACCAACTGACGGTTACATTTTTTCGCTGCCATAAATCATCTTAACGGACCTCTTAGGAAACAAAACTTTACTTTAACGGGTTCAACAGGTCGTGGTTTGTGATTTGTGATTTGTGGATTTCGATCCATTTTCAGCCTGAATTTCATCCGATTACTTCGAGGCGTTATTACTCCTTCAGTAACGACGTTGTTGAGAGGAGAAAACGACAGAAAACGACTCGAAGCAATCGGATGAATTTCAGGCTAATTCGTTTTGTGTGTTTGTGTTTCAAGGTTCGTTGCTTGTGATCGTAATTATGATTGACGGCAGCGAGAAACGCAATTGTGAAGGCGCCTTTTGAACTTTGGAGTTCGCATGTTTGCGAAAAGCGCAGTGAGGCGAGGGAAATAAGAGAATCATGGAATAAGGGTATAAATCATAATATTTATTGTAGCCTTTAGGCGAAGGAACCCATTAAGATTTGGACAAACCCAAGAGAAATTATTCCATTAGTAAAATTCCGGTTATAAGCCCTCGGCTTATACAACTTCGTATGGGGTTTTGGGTGGGCTTTCCAGACCTTGAGATAAGGAGGGAGGCACGGTCACGGGGGGGGGGGGGTTTGCTGGTTTTCCCAAAAATTTTGTTTGGTCTAAAATGAGGGGGGGCCTCCCTTGGATTCGCCACTGGGCTTATAAACCAAAACGGAGGGGCTTATATCCGGGGGGGGGGGGGTATAAGAGGAATAAAAAAAAAGTTTCGAATTGAGCCATAGCAGTGTTGATAGAAATACGTTTTTCACTTACCAATTTTTAATTAAACTTTCAAGCCTCTTTTTAAATCAAGAGGCATTATGGCTCTTGTATAAATCGAATGCCTTTCCGTAGGAACAAAATCAGAAGTTAACATCGTGAAAGTAACCGGAACGCAACAAACAGGAGGTACAGAGTTCATCTTCGCTGTCCGGCATTGTTAAAAATTTTAAAGGCAGCTTTAGTAACGACGACGGCGATGCCAACGAGAACGTCAAAAAGGCAATAGGCTTACTGAGAAAAAAAACAACTTTGCACGTGCATCACGCTTTTTTGTACATTTCTTTGCCGTCACTGCACATGAAAATGCCTAATTGCACGTTTATATTATAGAGGACGTAAACAAGCGACGACGAATTTTTCTTTGTCTTTGTAAACTTGAGTGCGGTTCCCAAGAAATAAACTCCTGAAAAATTCGCCTACATTTGACATTTTCAGCGAACTGGAATAAACGCGACAAAGTTTGAAGAAACGTGAATTCAGTTCACGGCTTTGAGGCTTCTTGCATTCAATTCTCTCACTTAATTTGACGTTGTCTTAATTTACTGAGTGATCTAATTTTGTGTTTGAAGTAGTACTGGCATGGGTTTTGTGAGAGTACTTAATATAAAAAAAAAAAAACAAGGAAAACTAGAGGGAGGCTAATACCCCCTGGGGGAGCTTATAACAGGATACATTTAATTAGAAGTTTGGAGACACGTCAGTTAAGAAACAGTAGAGCTATTTACACGGAGATCGTGCACAAATAAGAGCAAGACGGGTCTTACACGGAAGACCGCTTACGAAGTAAACACAAACATACCAGTATACAAGGTAAGTCCTGGCTAATGTTAAAGAACGCAAAAATACAATTTGACGTGAAAAAAGAAGTTGGCAAAAACCCACAGTAATTTTCAATTAGTTATAATAACTCCTCTAGTGGGGTTAATTTAACTCTTTACAGTGGAGTTATTTTGGGGGGGGAGTTATTTTGACTCCAAAAAGGGGTTTATTAGACAAAAACTCTTTTTCAAGAGTAAAAATCACCCCAGAGATCGAGGAGCTGAAATAACTCCCAAAAGGGAGTTATCCTGTACCTAAAATTTTTCCTCCACTTTCAGAGTTAAAGTAACTGGCTCCAAAAAGAGTAAAAACAACCCATGTAAGGAGTAAAAATTACCCCATTTTCTAAGTTATTTTAACTCCAGACTGGGAGATAAAAGACTCAATTTTTGGAGTTATAATATATAACTCCCTAAAAATTAATGTGTATAAAGACGAAATGAATTTTCATTTTCGAAATTGGAATCGTTGCAAGAACAAGGTGTTAGGTCACTAATCAGTCTTTCAGACAGAATCAACCTTGTTCGCATTGACAGACAGGTTTAATTTTAATGTTTTTTAATTAGTGTTATGGGAAATTGTACCTTTTTCTAAGGATTTAAAGTTATTTCAAGACTCTTGACGTTACTGGACAGGCTCGGACGGTCACAAGTCTTTTACTTTATGACAGAAGTCTTTATACGGATATTTTCGATGATTTTTGATTGTTGTGATTTTTTTATTTTTGGTACCACTTATAAATCTGCAGCACAAGACGCTCACCTAATATTAAAAGGGAGACGATGCCATTCTCCAATTACTGTCAATTCGTGAAACTAAATTTAAATAAATTAGGCCTTGAATAGCAGGTAACAAAAATTAGAGTAACTCTACCTCTCAGTACGTATCCTCTGTTAACAACTCCCTAGAAAACTGAATCCTGGAGTCAAGGGTGAGGCGAATCTGATCATTAATCACGTTATAAAAGAAAACAACATCAATAATAAATCTTGTATCAAGTTCACGTAGTCCGAACTGGATATTCGTCATCACTTTTAATTTAAAGATAAATTTCGTAACCCTTCTTTAAACTGACTCTACAAGACTAATGTTCCTCTTAGGGATTCAATATTTGTGAGGCATATTCAGAATCTAGACTACAGTAGGAGTTGTGACATCATTGACATCTCGACATGTTATTTGTTATTCCACTGCAGAGCTGGAGTCGCGGGTTCGATTCCCGGCATCGGACCAATACTCAGGGTCTTAACATAACTGAGAAATGAAGGTAGTTCCTTTGCCCTGCAAACGGCTAGACCTTTGTGTGGCTCGAATGACCACTGAAAATGGGGGCCCCGTCTCGAGTCAGTTTCGAGCAGTCGACGCACAAATATAGTGTCCCCAATAGGCACTTTCGTTTAAATAAATTGACACTCCAACAAAGTGCGTGTTTTAAAGTGCCCAGACAGTATTGCAGATCGCGATCTGCAAACTTTGAGAAAACGCAAGCAGGCGCTCCAATCATTGAGAAACACAGAGACAGTTTGAAGGCTTTACAATAAGGTCATATCACGGTGTAACTTGTGACAATATTTGTTGTAGGAATTGACTAAGTGGGAAAGGTGCAAGAGGTTTATATCAGGAGAAGAAAAACTGACCAAACCTGTAACTTTCCCGAATAATTCTGGAATTCTTGGTATCTATAGGCCTGATCAAGATTGCGCGCGTGTTTTACAAACTCGTTTTGTTCATCCTCCTGTGTCAAAAGAAGAAGGGCAGCTACCTATCGCTTTCGGTCTCACTGTTTATAAAGGTGTTCGTTCGCTTGAGCGACTTCTTCGAGCTGTTTACAAGCCAAACAATGCCTACTGCATTCACATTGAAAAAAGGACTTCGGCGGTCTTCCGTAAAGCAATACGGCAGGCCATTATACGCTCCCTTCCAAACGTTTTTATCGCTGGAAACAGTGTTGACGTCTCATGGGGCCATATTAATGTAGTTGAAGCTCAATTCAGTTGCATGGAAGAGTTGCTTAAATCACCAGTTAAATGGAAATATTACATGAGTTTAGTGGGAAAGGATTTTCCGCTTTCTCGTAACAAGCAATTTGTAAGAGCGTTACAAGGTCTCAACAATACCAACAACTTAGCACATTCTATGCCTAAACGTTATTCTGTTCATATCGAACGGAGTTTGTTTACGTATTAAGAATCCACTTCAATCGTAAGACAACAAAACGGAAAACGCCACCACCGCACAATATTTCAATGTATAAGGGATCCACTCATATTATTCCTTAAAGAGAGGACGACTTTGCCCTTCACAGCCAAATAGCAAAAGACTTCGATAAATTCTTAAAGGGAACTCAAGTCCCGGGTGAAACGATATACGCTTCTCTACAACACCTTCCAGGAGCTCCTGGCGGAATCAAAGGAAAACA